TGCAAATTTGAACTACACAGTCCACTTCTTTGCAGAATTTTTTTTCAATAATTAAGTACTACAGTACTATATGGGCCTATGGTTGGTCCATCTGCAAATGTGGAACCACAAATAACAGAGAGTTGAACTATAAAGTTATAAGCAGATTTTCAACTTTGTAGGGGGTCCATGCTCCTACCACCCATGGTGTTGAAGGGTCCAACTGTATTTCATCTAAAAAAATTTACTATCTATCTTATAGGGATATTATGAAGATTCAATGAATAATTTGTGAACAGTATTTGGCAATGTCCATGTCCATACATTCTAAGTACTCAATAGATGGTAGTTAGCAATGTGTATAAAAATAATAATCATAACAACAACCTCCAATTTCAAACAATAAGTTCAAGATAGTGATACAGAAGCAAACTTGAATAGAGACTGGACTTGCCCAGGTCAAATTTCTTTTTCCTAGATGGCACTACATTTCCATACTTGTTAGCCTTTCTCTAGGGTATTTATTTACTTGAAAGAAGAAAAGAAAACATTTTAAAATCAACAATTCATTTATGTTAATAAGTTATATTAATTTATGTCATGATGTCTCTGAGGGCAGAACTATAAAACATGGATGCAACTTGTGAGAAGGTTGGTTTGGGGACAAAAAATGGAATATATTTCTAAACTAGTTTCTTTCTATAGCTAGCTATAGCTGGCTGCATTGCTTTAAAGATCTAGCGTGTTCTTTCACTAAAAGTATTCAAGAACAGGCTACATTTTTTTCTGTCAGAGGTCTTGACACATGAGCTTAGATAATTCAGCCAGGTGATTTTTATTTCCCTTGCTGATACTGTGAGATGCTTACACTGTTTTCTCAAAAATTCTCTGCATTTTAAAAAGCTTAGTCAATAACCTAAAACTTAATATGTAATCTATGCATTTAGAAATTTCACTGACATTTTCATTTTTAGACATATAAACATATACTATAAAAACAACCTAGGATATGAAAATTTTAAATTGGCCTTTTCTCCTTTGATTGAGATCAATACTCAGAACAATCAATTTTTTTGTGTTAACTATCTGTTCATATGGCTAGAAAAAAATAATAAGCTCAATATGCTGTTGCCAAGAAATCTATGTATTCATTTACTAATTCATTTATCCAAAGAATATTTATGAAACATTTATCAAACTCTTCCTATACACTAAGCATTGTGCCCTGTGGTATAAGACTATTTTATGGCAACAGTTACAATCAATACTTTGATGCCAAAGAAATAATGAAGAACCTTAAATATTTCTCAGATTTTAGTTTTCAGTATTTTATGTTGAGAGAAACTCATTATTTGTATATCTATTTACCTGATTATTTGATACTTAATAAAATATATGCATTCAAGATATTAAAAAATCAATCACAAGTGTACTGTAATATATATATATACATATATATATGTATGTGTGTGTGTATATATATATATATATATATATATATATATAGTTTTTAAATGAACAGAACTTCTGCTTAGGTTTGAATTTGATTTAGGATAGTGGTAAACCTTTCTGAGTTTATCTGTGTAGTGATGAAGATATATACACCCTGCAGTTAGATATTATATATTTGAGTATATAATATGTGGCTCTAAAAGAAATAAATAAAACAAAATTAACAAAACCAAAGCATGTATCTATTTTCTATCAATATAATGCAAACACAGGTAAGGGGGTTATTTTATATGAATATTAACAATATCTAATATTCCCAGTTAAACAGAGCATTACATCAGTTTGTCGTGAGAGTTTAGCTTTAATTAAGCTTGACTGATTGATTTCTTTCCTATCTTTTTAAACTTGAACTCAGTATATATTTATATTTAAATTTTATAATTATATTTATATTTTAAATATCATTTTATAGTGATATTTCAAATATTGTCTTTATAAACAGGGCTTCAAGAAAAGCAATCTAGGTATTTTGGGACACTCTAAGCAAGTCTGATTTGGGAAGGAAGAATATACTTAATAAAAGCCAACTTTTATGTTATTTAACACAAAAGGAAACACAGGTCTTTGTTATATATATTTAACTTTAAAAGATTGATCATTTGCTTCTCTAAAGAAAGCACATACAGCTTCCATACAGACTGCACAGTAAAGAATAATAATATTTCTGTTTACTGAGATATCAACTGGCATTTCACTGTAAGTCAATGGTCTATCATTGCTACAGCATATTAGACCTCAATCTGGCATCTACAAATGTCAAGAGTACACATATATATATGCATATATATATATATATAGGATGAAAATCAAAGCATGCTCCAAATGCTCCAAAAATTAAAAAAAAAAGGGGGGAAACAAAGTTCATCTAAACATGCTTGCTAGAGAAATTAGTGTAATATTCAGCTGTCAATCTAGAAAAACAAAGAGGGACCCACACTGTCAGTAGGACAGGATAATACAATTTCCAGCAGATGTTCAGACAGGGCTCTAATTTTTACTGAACTCCCTTGGTAAGCATTTAATTTCTTTATCATATGCAAGCTTGGCAAATTGTACTTCATCAAAACTGCATTGTGAAATATTAATATTTCATATGATAACAAAACTCCATAGAATAACCTTTGTCATATTAAGAGCATCCAAATTTCAAATGTCAGGACTCTGAATTTTAATACATTTTAAGTAGACTCTTGAAATTGCATACTAAATTATAATGAGGATAATCTAAATTGGTATGCTATAATGTCACACAAATGTGTAGTACATATAATACATGAATAGATGTCTTTAGTAAGAGGCTATAAAAAACACGAGTTGTATACTACAACATTTCACCAATAAGAAAGCACAAAAATCATAGGACAGTAATATATTCAAAACATATTTAATCATTAAATAGAGACAATATAAGAAAACAAAAAGTAGATCTTCATGATACAAACTATGTTGTAAAATCATGTATGGGAAGTAATCATTTTTTAAAATAGGCTTACATAAGCCCAAGGTGGCATCCTTATTTATGTCACTACAATCTGCATGAGTGAATTTAAAAGTTTTTGAACAAATATTTTGTTGTACCCATCATCAAAGTAAGTAAAATAAAGCTTCCTAAAACTCCCTATCATTATGTTTTATGTGCCAAATTTAATTTGCATTTGTCCATAACTCTCCTTTTGAAACATCATCACAGACTTCTGAATTGATAGATTAAATTCAAATTGGAGGTCTAGAAGGAAGTTAGCTCCCACATTCATTTCTGCTGGTGATCCTAATGAAGGCAACTACTCTTAGGTTATTGAAAGAGACAGCTTCACAAATCAAATGCATGTCACCAGCAGAGTAAAGAAAAATGTCTCTGATTAATCAGAATTCAATTTTTGTAAGCAAATTTGAAGCAAATATTCTTTTTCCTACAATTCTTCACTTATTCCTGTTTAGCCACCCATTTTTGTTTACATATAAAATTTTTTCAATAGCATAACTACTCATTAGATGGTATCAGAGATTCAGTTCTTCTCAATGGATTAAACATCAGATTAGAGCTTCTGAGTAATTCCTAAAGGAAGAATTGAAATACAAACAAATATAATGTCAATAGTCTACAAATCTGTAAACAACTGATTAAGGATATTCTGAAGCTAAATTCAGTATGTTGTTTATCATTACATTTTATTTAACCAAAGAATTTCTGAGAATTCAGCCAATTTATTAAAAAAAACCTCCTTTAGCTATTTAAATATAAAAATATTTAGGTAATTTTTTTTCATGCACTAGGTTTCTAACTTTTGAGGATTTCTAGATAATTGTGATCACATTTATACATAGCATCTTGTGAAGCTGTCAGAATGAGACAGCCAAGATGTTTTAGCCATAATAATGCCAGCTATTGATCCTAGTAAGAGGAGAAAGAAGAGAATGTGCTTAATGGGGCATTTCTGTTCTCTATTAGTTTCTTTGCCTAAGGATAAGGCTGATTTAAATAATAATAGTCTTTTCTCAGTCACTAGATTCACACATTCTTATTCATTAATTATTACTAACTACCAGTAAGTATTAAATATACCAATAGGTGTATCATCTAAAATTTTATCAATAAAAGATCTAAAAATGTTAAATTTTGCTGATCTTTTCTAATTCAAAGCCATATGAGGATGCAACCCTTTATTGCATAAATTGTCCTACTTTTAAAATGTTCACTTATATACTTTCTGTATTTTAAAGACTCAATCTTAACTTTAATATGTAGTTAATTCTCTACTAAGTATGTCCACTTGCTATGTGAGTACACAGTCATAATGTCAAATCAAACTCAGGTCAATGCATTTGGGGAAACATTTCTGTATTTAAAAATTCAAGAGAAATCTTATTACAGGCACCAGTTAAGTTATACTGAGTGATTCATTTTTACATGAACTGGTTTCCAGGATTATGTGCAAATCAAATTCATTGTCTAACTCTGAGTTGAGGCACATATTCTCATTCACACACATCCAGAAATCACAAAACAATAATGCTAAAATAAGAGTTAGTGAGTTTTCAATTATTAAATGAAATAGACATTTTGTAGTATTTACATTTTTGATACTTAGACAAAACACAGTGATTCCCTGGTGGTTCAGGATAAAGAGTCTGCCTGCAATGCAGGAGACTGGGGTTTGATCCCTGGGTCAGGAAGATCCCTTAGAGAAGGTAATGGCTACCCACTCCAGCATCTTGCCTGGAGAATTCCATAGGACAGAGGAGCCTGGCGGGCTACAGTCCATGCATCCCAAAGAGTCAGACATGACTGAGTGACTAACACACACACAGACAAATGAGAAATAGAAATCGATCCCATTCCCCATCTTGGGACAGAAGAAATGTAATGAAATTAGCTCATTTGTAATAATCAGTCTTAACCAATAGTTTAATAACTGTTATAGCTTGGTGAACCTTTGCATTATAATATTTATGCCCTAATTAAAATAAATGATAGATATTTAAACACAACTTCAAAAATAATTTCTTACCTTATCAAGAGAGAAAGTTTTGGTCAGAGCAAAGGCCCATCCAGCTTCAAAAGCTCTTCGAATCATTGATGAACTGGTAGTTGGAGTTGCACTGGCAAGACCAAAAGGATTTGTAAACTTCAATCCAGCCATTTCCACACTAATGTCCACCAGATCAATGGGAGTATAAAAGAGGGGGAGTTCAGGCTTAGCAGAAACTGAAGCTCCATATTGTGACTGTAAAAAAACACAAATAGCCAATAATTATTCTTGAGTCACATCTGATTTCTCCATATATAGTCTTTTACAAAAATCACTTCAGCACAGCATTAATATTAATATAGATTACATTGGTCTGTTTGGAATGATTAAGACTGGACAATAAAGTCAGTTAGCAGAGTAAAATTCATATATCATCTTTATCGTATTTCAAAAGCAGTACAGAGAATACTAACAGAAATATTATCAATTAAATAAACAAAAAACTATACTTAAAACATACTGAGATTCAAACACAAAAAAGAATAATTTCAAAATTTATCTCCCTGAACCCATTAACCTAGACTTTTTGTATTTAATTTGTAGAAGTATCTTTAGTGCTCAGCGATACATTAAAAAAAAAAAAGAAAAGCAAGTTAGGAGACCTAAATTCAATTTTCAGTAACTTCATTCTATTTATCAGAATTTAGGAAAGCCACCTAACACATCCTTGCTTTTTCTCCTTTACCATTTTCAGTACAGCAGCACAAATTCTGGCTGCCTCATTTCCTACCTCCTAGGGATATTGGAAAATGCAGGAAATCATAAGCCATAGGGAGACATCTAATTTGGAAAGTAGATAATGTACTCATGTGTACGGGGAGACTTTCTTCAGCAAAAACAGGTACCAAACAGTTAATATCAAAATCATCTATTGGCTTTCAAACTGTAAAATTATGTTTCTTAAATGGATACAGTATAAAGCTACCTTGAATTATTGGAAAAAATCAATCAAAAAATCCTTTACAAAGTGGCCCACTGCAACATAGTAGGTGCTTGCCAAATGCTGTCTCTCTGATTGCAGAGATTATTAAAGCTTTCATCGAGTTCTTTATAAAATGTGTCTGTTTCTCTCCTTCTCTCCCTCCCTTCCTCTCTTTCTCTCTGTTTATCTTTGAAAGACAAATAATACTGGCAAATATAAAGAAGATGAATTTTCTTAGCCAAAGCAGTTACTGAATGGACCAGTCTAGTTAATTCTAAAGTAAGAACTCTTTTCTCTTGTGAATAATCACTCAAAAGTTGTTTGAGCAGAACTTTAATTTTACAGGAGTGTGTCTTGTGTAGATAAAGATTGCCATGACTTGCATAAAAATTATTTCTGGACCTCCACCATTTATAATGCAAAGTAAAGTTCACTTAATATGTAAAAAGGCATCAAACTTGTCAACTGAAAGACTAATGTGTCTCTGGTGCTTGCAGAGTGGTGCCTGATGGCATCTACGCTTCGGCTGTGGCACGCATCTTCTGCCAAGAATGTTCTGGATTTCAAGGCACATTTCTGAATATTGTGCACTTCTATATTGTGCGGATAATTCTTCCAGTTCTCACAGGGATTGCAATATTATTAAAAGGATTATTAACAAAAACAAAAATTATAATGTATAAAATAACAAAATGCAGGATAATCTGAGACATGTTAATTTGAGGCATGTGTGTCTGTGTGAGTGTGTGCAGGAATAGGTGAGGAAATAAACAGTTTCCATGAGATTTTCTCAGCTCTGTGTCAGCGTGTTCAGTCGCTTCAGTTGTATCCAACTCTTTGCGACTCTATGGACTGTAGCCCACCAGGCTCCTCTGTCCATGGGATTCTCCAGGCAAGAACACTGGAGTGCTTTGCCATTTCCTCCTCCAGGGACTCTTTCCAACCCAGGAATTGAACCCACATCTCCTGCGTCTCCTGCATTGCAGGCAGATTCTTTACCCACTGAGCCACCTGGGAAGCCCTTTCTTAGTTCTAAATAATAATTCAAACTGAATCAAGGAAGTTCAGATCAGGTGAACGAAGAATTTCCTGACACCACAGTTTGGTTAACACCAGAGAAATTTACAAAAAAAGTTTCCTTTCATATCTGAGGAACCTAGAAACTTTGGGAAACCTTTCATCTGATGACAATGATAGAAATACTTACAGTTCCATGTTTGCTGAAGTGATACAGTGTCTCATCTTTTTGTGGCTTTATACTGAAGTAACTAACCTCTTGAATCTCACAGGTGAATTTTAGTTTCTCAACAATTAGAGTTATACAGTTTTGGGTAATAGACCAAGGAAGTAGACATATATGTGTAGTTCAACTTGCATTTCTTAATTGATGTAGTTTTAAATACACAAAACATTGCATTGAAATTCTTAAAAATGTTGCTACCTCAATATTTAGAAAGGAAATAATGTGGGCAAATTTTGCAAGATTTTTCTTAAGTTTCAAAACAAAAATGAAAAGCAAACAAAACACGTAACAAAAAAAAATCAATACACACAAAACTTTTTCAAATGAGACATATAACATTTCATAAAATGTATATTTTATTTTATCAACAAAAATACTACTGATGTTTAGGCAGATAAGATACAACCTTTAGTTTTAAGTTTTTATTGTTAGTTTGGTCACTAAGTTGTGTCCAAATCTTTGCAACTCCATGACCTACAGCATACCAGGCTTCTCTGTCCATCACAATCTCCCTGAGTTAGCTCAAACTCATGTCCATTGAGTCAGTGATGCCATCCAAACATCTCATCCTCTGTCATCCCCTTCTCCTCCCGCCTTCAATTTTTTGCATCATCAGGGTCTTTCCCAAGTGTCAGCTCTTCACATCAGGTGGCCAAAATATTGGAGCTTCAGCTTCAGCATCAGTCCATCGAATGAATATTCACATTTGATTTCTTTAGGATTGACTGGTTTGATATCCTTAATTTCCAAGGGACTCTCAAGACTCTTCTCCAACACCACAGTTCGAAAGCATCAATTCTTCAATTCTCAGCCTTCTTTATGATCCAACTCTCACATCCATACATGACGACTGGAAGAACCAGAGCTTTGACCACACAGACCTTTGTCGGCAAAGTGATGTCTCTGCTTTTTAATACACTTTCCAGGTTTGCATTAGCTATTCTTCCAAGGAGAAAGTATCTTTTCATTTTGTGGTTGAAGTCACTGTCAACATTGATTTTGGAGGCCAGAAAAATCTGGCACTGTTTCCTCATTATCCCCATCTATTTGCCATGAAATGATAGGACCGGATGCCATGTAATAGGCAGTCTTTTTTCATGTTGTACAGACAGGGCAATGTTTTTGCTTTGTTTTGTGACTTTTTACCACAGTGGGGTGTAACAGCACCACATTAATATATTTGTTTGACCTCATAATATATTCAAGCTTTCATTTTCCAAAATTTGGTAGCTTGTTCCCCTTTGCATTACTGCTCAGGGAACTCACGCATCTTAAATTTCAGCCCTCATCTCAAGGTTCAGTTCATTTCAGTTCAGTTCAGTCGCTCAGTCATGTCCGACTCTTTGAGACCCCATGAATCACAGCACACCAGGCCTCCCTGTCCATCACCAACTCCCAGAGTCTAATCAAACCCATGTCCATTGAGTTGGTAATGCCATCCAACCATCTCATCCTCTATTGTCCCCTTCTCCTCCTGCCCCCAATCCCTCCCAGCATCAGGGTCTTTTCCAATTAATCAACTCTTCACATGAGGTGGTCAAAGTACTAGAGTTTCAGCTTCAGCATCAGTCCTTCCAATGAACACCCAGGACTGATCTCCTTTAGGATGGACTGGTTGGATCTCCTTGCAGCCCAAGGGACTCTCAAGAGTCTTCTCCAACACCACAGTTCAAAAGCATCAATTCTTCAGCACTCAGCTTTCTTCACAGCCCAACTCTCACATCCATACATGGCCACTGGAAAAACCATAGCCTTGACCAGACTGACTTTTGTTGGCAAAGTAATGTCTCTGCTTTTTAATATGCTATCTAGGTTGGTCATAATTTTCCTTCCAAGGAGTAAGTGTCTTTTAATTTCACGGCTGCAATCACCATCTACAGTGATTTTGGAGCCCCAAAAAATAAAGTCTGATACTATTTCCACTGTCTCCCCATCTATTTGCCATGAAGTGATGGGACCAGATGCCATGATCTTAGTTTTCTGAATGTTGAGCTTTAAGCCAACTTTTTCACTCTCCTCTTTCACTTTCATCAAGAGGCTTTTTAGTTCATCTTCACTTTCTGCCATAAGGGTGGTCATCTGCATATCTGAGATTATTGATATTTCTCCCAGCAGTCCTGTTTCCAGCGTGTGTTTCTTCCAGCCCAGTGTTTCTCATAATGTACTCTGCATATAAGTTAAATAAGCAGGGTGACAATATACAGCCTTGACATACTCCTTTTCCTATTTGAAACCACAAGGTTAATTCCTCCCAAATCCAAATTGCAACTTCCAAATTCAGATTTCCAAGAGATTTCAAGACATTTGGAAGTGGATGCTTTGTCGTTAATTCAAACTCAACTCCTTCTAAATGTACTTCATCATATTCCCTTCTAAAGAATATGATTCCCATATTCAATATAATGTAATTTCATATAGTACTATTTTTCCAGTCATCCAGTAGTATGACTAAATAACAAATGTAAGAAACAGCCTAGATATTGAATGATGAGGATTAGTTCCCCAGTGACACTACTGTACAAAGGATGTTATACTGGCATCAGGAACAACACAGAGAAAAATAAAATATTGACATAGAAGAGAGTCTATCCTATAATAAGTGAAAAATTGTGGTGAATAAAACAAAGTCTCTGAAGATTACATATAGAAAAACATTAAGAAAGCTACCAACCAATCAAGTGAACACAAAATTAAAATCACAGATCATTCACCACACTACCCTTTGCCTCATACATTATCTGATGTATTCCCATTAGCCTGAAATATAATCTAACACATTCTTCACCCATCAGGCTCTTAAGTGATTCTTCAAGACTCAACTCATGCAATCATATGCTTCCTGGGGCATTCCCTTAATAGATTCCATACACTTGTCTAATGTAGCTGACTCTTTTCTTAGATATTTTATCATTTAAAATATGGCTTCACCTCAGTAGTCATCATACTGGGCTGTGCCTGTTGATTTTTCTCTTCAAACAGAACATATGTTCCTTGAAGGCAGTGACTGTAGCATATTCAAATTAATATCTC